CAACAAATGCCTTTTGAATTATAGCTGGCAATAATCACAACCTTTCTGGTTACTTCCTTTTCAAGGTAACGGGGAGAAAGGCTTGGGGAGTAGGGAGGGGATTTAGTGAATGCTGGACTGGAGGGCCGTGGAGCAGGCAGAATGCTGGCCCTGCAGGAACCAAAGGATGAGGGGGTGAGGGCTGGGGAGGGGGTGCTGTGAGGAGCCAGCAGAGCCCAGCCTTGCCCAGAAACCTAGGACCAGCTCCCTGAGACTGCAAGGTCATTGCCAATTAGCTAAGTGGCTGCACTCAGCAGGCTTCTGGGATAGGAAAGGGCTGCGTTCTCCATCTTGTTGATGTGGAAACAGCAAGGGGAAGTGACTCAAAGCGGGAGTGGAAATAAAGTGTGTGTCTCGTGACATTCTGACTTGTGCTAGATCCAAAGGGCTGCACTTGACTGTCTCCTGGGAGGCCTCCTTCCACGGGCAGGCGCCTGTGATGCTCTCGGGAGAGGCAGGGGACTATGCAGGAGCAGAGGAGAGGGAGGGGTGATCTGTGGATGTGGGGCAGGTGCATGATGGAATGCAGGACTTGGTGGAATGTCAGTTTAGATTTTTTAAAAAGTAAGGCATAAAGGCCAGGCGTGATGGCTCATACCTGTAATCCCAGCACTTTCGGAGGTTGAGGAGGAAGGATCACTTGAGGCCGTGAGTTCAAGACCAGCCTGGGCAACAGAGAGAGACCCTATCACTATAAAAAAAAGAAAATTTAACCAGGCATGGTGGCATGTACCTGTAGTCCCAACTGCTTGGGAGGCTGAAGCAGGAGGATCACCTAAGCCCAGGAGTTGGAGGCTGTAATGAGCTATGATCACATCCCTGCATTCTAGCCTAAGCAATAGAGAAAGACCCTATCTCTAAAAAAATAATAATAATTAAATTTAAGTTTAAAAATTAAAAAGTCGGTCTTAGTATTATATTTCCAATTCTTTCTTCTGCCATGGACACTTAAAAAATGAAAGTGCCAAGGAGTTACGGAAGTAACCTCTGATCCTCCATAAAGTTCTGCAGGAGAAGTAATAGTGGCCTCATGCCCCAGCAGAAGAAACCAGGGCCTGCAAAGATTATCTTCTCCAGATCATACAGTGGGTTCATGGCAGAGATTTCAGGGGGCCCTGTTGCCACACTCCAAAGTCCTTTGTGAGTAATGGCCTAGTTGTATGGCTTGGCAGCCCCAAAGACAGCGGTTTAAACCCAGGTTTGAATGAGTCAGATGTATGCACCTTCTCCCTGACATCATAAGGCCTTTCTGGCTAATGGTCCCCTTTCCAGACTCTCTCAAATCAGGAACAGAACTTTTTTTTTTTTTTTTTTTTGAGGCAGAGTTCTGCTCTTTTTCCCCAGACTGGAATGCAGTGTCGCCATCTCAGCTCACTGCAACCTCTGCCTTTCGAGTTCACTGCAACCTCTGCCTTTCGATTCTCCTGTCTCAGCCTCCCAAGTAGCTGGGATTACAGGCACATGCCACCACGCTTGGCTAATTTTTGTAATTTTAGTAGAGATGGGGTTTCACCATGTCAGCCAGGCTGGTCTTGAACTCCTGACTTCAAGGGATCTGCCCGCCTAGGCTTCCCAAGGTGCTAGAATTAAAGTTGTGAGCCACTGTGCCCGGCCAGGAACAGAACTTTGAGTCCTCAAGACCATGCATTTTATGTTTGGGATGCCCAGCATCCCCTCTGGTGTCTACCTCTCTCAGAGGCTAAGCTGTTTATTGAATACAAAATGTGTAACATTACCCTACAATGTTTTCAAGGGCAAGAGTTAAGTTTTCCTGTGATATTTGTTTCTGTAACCCTAGCATCTCCCCTGTGCCAGGAGCATAGTACTAGGTACAGTTACAGCCTGGTGTTTCTGGAAGGGAGTTAAATGCTGCTTCATTTCCCCCTCCTGTAGGCAGGTCGATGTCTTGCCATTCAGGAAGAACGTAATTTATTTTCTTCCTGAAGATCTTAAGAACTCAGAGATTGTCCAGCCTCCTGTAGTACCCTTTGCAGATTTTGGCCCAGAAGTTCTTACAGCCAATCAGAACTTTTCCTGTTTAATTTGAGCCCATTTCCTTGTGTTTGTTATTCTTTGACTTTGACTTTGGCAGATTTGGGGGCCAGGAGGCAAACCTAAGCCCGGGATGGCTCAGAGCCAGAGTTTTCAATAGTGTCACAAAATGTAGTCTCTGATTCTGCTCCGAAGGTCTGGGGCAGACCAAGAAGCAGGGAGGACGGAATGAATGCCAGGGCTTGGAGAGCCAAGAATAAGGTCTGGAGAAAGGGGCAGGGCTTTTGGCTCATGAGTTGAGCATCAGAGGATTTTGTGATCATTAAAGGCCAGAGATAGACTGTTGACGAGTAATTCAAATAATCAGACAAAATTTGGAGGCATGAGCAAGTTCTGTGATCAAGAACAGGAGCTGCAGTCAGCAGATGGTTCTCATCTCTTCCTAACTCAGAGTTCAGTGATGTGCATTGGTACCTGAAGGTCAGTCACGGTGGGAATTTTTACACCACAGAAGTTGGCAAGTGTTGCAAAGTAGAATTTTTTTTTTCCTCTGGAGCGCAGGCAGAAGGGGAGCAAGATACAGGGAATACAGGTCATCAAACAAGATTTTGGAAAAAAGACAAGTGAAAATAGTCATGACAGTTGAGCCTTTCACTGGTGTCCCACTTGATCAGATACGATGAACTAACTCAAGTTTTCTCACTTAATCCTCACCCGCCTTCTATAAGGAAAACAGGGTAGGCAGCATTACCCTACTTTATAGGGGAGGAAAATGAGGCCGGGAGAGGTTAAGTTACTGCACAAGATTTTAAAGCCAGTCAGAAAATGAGCTGGGACCAGGACACAGGCAAGATGAGTGTGAGGGAAGATGGCATGGAGTTGAGATCTGTGTTCTCCCGAGATCCTGTGTCCCCCTGGGCCCTCCCATTTCAGTGCAGTCCTCTCTTCCACCCGTGTGCCGCCAGCTCTGCACCTCTGTGCCTGAGGATGTTCTCAGACCTCCCTTGTGCTGAACTGGCTGGATGTGCTGGAACAATGACTCTAAGAATGGTGTATAAATACCCCAGATCCCTCCCTCTCTGGGTGGGGTACATTCTATCCTGACTCCTAGAGTTCCCAGCATGGTTAAACTGTGGTTTCCCAAGGGATAACACTTGATCACTCTTTTGACCATTTTCTCCTCCCTGTCATCATTTCTCCGATGTTTCCTGGGGTTACCTCTCAAATGACTTCCCCTGGATTCCTATATAGTGAAAATGTATTCCAGGAGCCTGGAAGATTCCTCCAGGAGCTCTGCAATATGTCTTCACCACATAGCAGAGTATTGGCACACAGGACATGTCCAGCAGATGTTTGTTGGAAAATGGTATGGATACCTCTAGGATAGACAGATATTTCTAGAATATATATACCTTTTAGATAAGAATATATGTATATATAAAAGCAGATGCATATTCTTCTCTCTGTAGGTCTCATGCCACATTTTGCTACCCCTGGGGACTCTGAGCTTGGTGCTGCCTACTGTCCCCCTGCCCCTGACCTGAAGGACATGCCCAGCTTTTTCTCTCATCCTTGGCTCTTTTTTGCATCTTCATAATACACATTTATTTTTTTAAAAAGGAATGGCTCTTTGAAGCTAATGGCTATCTAAATCTTTCTTTCCTAGCATCTAGCACAGTGTAAATAAATGAATATAGGCTCTCATTCCACTTTTCAAATATGTGACTCCACATTGGTATTTTCACGGTGCCAACTCCATCATTTTGCTCCCAACTAAATGATGGGCCAAAAAGGAATCCCCCCCCCCCCCCCGCCTACAATCACAGTCTGTTCTTAGAAAGGGGATATTTTTTATTTAAGAAGGGGTTTCGGGATAAGAGCTAAGCTCATTTTAGAACAGTGGTTTCCAACCCAGGTGAAACGTTGGGAAAATCCTGGAAAACAAAGATGTCAGTGCTCAACCCAGACCGATTTAACGGCAGTCTCTGAGGACCGCGCTTGGTTTGGGGTTTCTGAAAGTTTCCCAGTGATTCTATGGAGCCAATGCTACGCCACCCATCTGGAGCCAGAACTTCCACTTCTTCCTTTGAGCATTCCCTGCTTTAGATCAGTAGGAGATAAACTCTACTGAGTTGTGCTGGATCTAGAGGCCAGGACCAATGTTGCGGAGATTCCAGGTGAACTACACATTCCTCCTAGGATTCTCATTGTCTACATCTGTCAACCCAGGCTGTAAATGGACTGGGTCTTCTGGAGCCCTCCCTCCCATGTGTAGAATGCCCTTCCCTGCAGGGCTGCTGGGCAGAGCACTGTTCCTATTGAGTCCTTCTGGGTGTGATGAGTAATGTTCTATGTGCTGGGTTCCCATCGGACAAAGGCCTCCCACCCTGAAAGTTCTTGCTGGCAGCTGAGGGTGGAGGCGGACGGCATCGGTTGACAGCTTGGCCCTCCACCTGGGCCCTTTCCTGACTTCTCCATTCCCATTCCCTCGGCTCCCCCCCCCCCCCCCCCCGCCGTTCTCCCATTGTTTCTTCTCGGCTTTTCCCCCATCCCTGTTCTTCTCCTGCTATTTTCTACTGTCTCGCTCTTTGCTTTTTCTGCTCAGCTGTACCTTGGAACCAAGCTGCGACCGCCTCCTCTCACAGCTGCCTTTGCTAAGTATGGGCCCCTTGCCTGGGTGCCAGTATAGAGGGAGGAATGGGTGAGAGAGAGGGGGCTTCCAGGAGACAGAGCTCATAGGCATGAAAGCTCTACATCTGGGTTTCATACCTGGATGCTTCTGAAACTTGCCCCTTCCTGCCGCAGCTTTCCCAGCCGAGAGAACCAGGTGCCTTGCAGGGGAGCTTTTGGGTGTGAGAATATATAGCTTTTGTGTCGGTCTTGGCGTTCAATGGGTGCTGTTCCTGGGGTACAAGGTGTGTGGGCCTGAGCGGGGCTCTTTCAGGGCTGACCCTCTGCTGTCTCTGCAGGACTGCGATGTGCCGGTCTTAGCTGCTGTCTGAGAGGATGTCTGGGGTGTCCGAGCCCCTGAGTCGAGTAAAGTTGGGCACGTTACGCCGGCCCGAAGGCCCCGCAGAGCCCATGGTGGTGGTACCAGTAGATGTGGAAAAGGAAGACGTGCGTATCCTCAAGGTCTGCTTCTATAGCAACAGCTTCAATCCCGGGAAGAATTTCAAACTGGTCAAATGCACTGTCCAGACAGAGATCCGGGTAAGTGTGAAGGCGTCTGCTCTGTCCATCTGTCTGTCCCCCTGTCTTCTTCCTGGGCAGCTGAGCAGCTCTCCTGCAGCCTCGTGGCTCTCCCATATCCACCCCCTGGTGGAAGAGGTGAGCTGGCATCAGAGAGATGTGCCCAGCCTGCATCACCAGGCCTTCTCTCCAGGGGTCTGCATGCTACTGCTCGAGGAACCTGGGAAAGACATGTTGTGGTCTTTGTTTGAACCCCAGATCATTTTTTTTTTTTGCTTCTGATTCAATTCATTTCAACTTACCAAGTATTTATGAGACTTGAAGCTCTGTGAAGGACTTAAAAGCTCCTGTCCTCAAAGAGTTTACACTCTGGTGAAGTAGGAATTAGAGATACACAAGTGTTTGCATGAAAAGTAGAACAAAACTGGTCTAAGACTTGTGTGCTGAGCACGTGGAGGAAGGCGTTCGTGGGCGCTTAGAGGATGATAATGAAGTAGAGACGCTTTGGGCCAGGTGAAGGGTTGACAAGAGCCCTACCTGGCAACACATCCCTTTGGTCACTCCTGCCCAGAATCACAACATCTGTTTTGCAGGTCCAGGTACCCACCTTCATCAGGGCACCTGGACCTCAGGACACTAGTTCACCTTAACCAAATGCATGTGAAATGCTCACCATAAGCAGAGTTCCACCATGCCGAACTAATCTCAGTCACCTACATTTACTGAACAATGAGCCTGGGCCAATTCCTCTATACGCACTATTCCATGAAATCTTCCCAGCATCCCCATGAGTAGATACACTGAGGACATACCTTGCCTCTGCCCAGAGCACCCCTTTCTGATGACGGGAGGGAAAGCCAAATTGGTTGTCAGAAGGTTGCTTTGTTGGTAATTTGAACAAAGGAAGCAGGAACTTTCGGGAAAGCTAATCAGGTGTGAGGACATGGGATGAGCCATCTCCAGCTCACGACCAACACTTCCCATGTCCTGAAAGCCAGTGTTCCCAGACTCCTTGAAGGTCTCCTTTGGTTAGTGCTGCTGCGCCCTGGCCTCATCATCCTGGCTGCCTTCTGTCTGCTATAGTTCATGCTGCGCTTCCACAACCAGAGCACAGTGTAATTGATTAGGTCACTGTCAGGGCCAGTTATCAACACTGATTATGGTTTGGCTGGCTCTCTCTGTTTCCTGTAACTGATTTGATTAGGGCCTTGTTTGCTCATCTTATGATTTCTGACATAGAGGCACAACTGTGTCCTGGGAGTAAGCCCTGGTCATCTTCCTCCAGGAGGACGTTTCTTTGTATCTTTATCCACTTCATGAGTCTTCCTTTGGGTATATCATTGCAAAGAGCTGATGCCATCCACTGCGAATTTTACTAGTTTAATTTTCAGAAGTTAACCTGATTTCCAAGTTTAGGGAAGAGCACCTCATTGTTCTTTTGTGCTGAAAAACAGAGAGCAGCTGGTTGGTTCAGATTAGGACATGCTCCATGGAGTCAGCAGTGAAAAAGGTCCTGAAAAAGAGGTAGCATTTAAAGCAGTGACACTGGGGACAGGAGGAGGCTTTCCAAGAGGAGGGAACAGCATGAAGAAAGACAGGGAAGCCTCTGAACAGTAAGTAGTTCAGTTTGACTGGAGTATGGATTATATTTAGGAAAATATCTAAAGCCAAGATCAAAAAGTAAAGTTGACAGGAGGGCCTGCAATATCAGGCACAGAAATTTGGAACTGGGTAGGCACTGGGGAATAACACGTATTTTTAAGCAGGGGCAAGACGTTTCTGTAGTTGTATGATACCCTGCTGGGTGTTTAAGGGGTGAAAGTACACCATGGGCCTATAGAAAAAGCGGTGAGACCCAGGCTTAAGAAGGATGGCTTGACACAGTATCTGATTAGGGGAAGCAGAGGTGGAGAACGGAAGTGACTGACTTCTAGGAATATGTCCAAGCCTTCTGATTTTTCCTGCTTCCAATGTCCCTGCAGGCAAAATGTCACCTGTTTATTACAAACAGCTGTAGTCATAAAGCCACTTAGACTTCTTGCCAAGTCTTGCTCCATCCTTACTGGTTGTGTGGCCTGGGACCTGGTGCTTAACTGATCTGGGGTTCCATCTTCTCACCCAGATATCATGCTCACCTCCTCACCCAGGGATCATCATGCCATAAGGATTGGAGGTGATGGGTGAGAAGCACAAAGCACATAGCAGCACCCACAACTGGAGGCTGCTGATTATGTGGGCATTAGGTTATTACCCAGCTCAGGAATCTCCAAGGGTTTCTAATTGCCCAGAGCATAAAGTGCAGATTGTCATCTTTTGGTGTCTATCCAGGTATCTGTCTTATTTTCAAATAAAGAAGTAAGATGATCAGATTTGCGTTTTAAAACAGCAACATGGTGTTCTGCAAGATGTTAAGAAGTATTCCCTTGGGAAGGGAATGTGTGGTCAGAAAGATCGGGAAATGCTTGGTTAAACAGTTCTGAACAGATTCTTTTGCAGCAAGAGTGCTCAGAACCTTAAATAGGCTGATATGCCTGGTCAGTCACTGAGAGGGGCCACAGAGGTGATATTTTCTTAACTAAACAATTTCTTATTTGCCTACAGAAACCCTTCTTTTAAAAGCTAGATCTCTGGACAATCATTTAGGGAGTTTTTTCCCCTAAACTCTGACAGCAGAGAAAAAAGGATTAGAGGGAAAAAAAGACCGGTGAATGGGAGATGGGTTAGGAGACTGTGGTCGTTCTGCAAGAGGGAAATAATGAGGACCTGGATTAGAGAGAAGTCAGCAGAATTGAGTCCATCAAGGAGGCAGAGGCAATAGAATTTGATGATTAGATATATGGAGGGAAAGAAAGGAAGGAGAGAAAAATGACTCAGGCTTTTTTGCTGGGTGACTGAATGGGTGTTGGTACTATTCATTGAGATCCAAACAGAAAGGGAAGGTGTTCCGAGATTTCATCTTTACATGCCTTGTGTTTAAAGTGTTTATGAAACACCTCCTTGGAGGAACGTGGGTCTGGAGCTCAGCAGGGAGAAAGAATCTAGAGACAAGATTTGGGTGTCATTATTCAATGGATGCCATGCAAATGGGTAGAATCACCCACAAGGAATGAGTAGAATAGAACGAAAAGAGATCCAGATAGGAAACCTGGGGAAATTGACTTCTAAAAGGCTGATACAGAAAGAGCAGCACATGAAGGGCAAAACAAGAGTCAGTCAAAAAAGGAGCGAGAGAACTAGGAGAATAGAGTCTGAGGCGCTCAAGGCAGAGAGGGCTTTAAGGAAAATACTGGCTGGCTGTTAGATGCTCAGAAAGGACGGCAGATAAGGTTAGAAACAAGTGCACGGCTTTAGCGGCAGGTGCCATGAATAATCTTCGTTTGGGCAATTTTAGTGCAGAGATGGGGCAGAACACTTAAGAGTGGTTTTGACCAGGAAGGAAAAGAAAGAAGGGAAGGCTAAAGGAACAGTGTTCACTGTGGAGGGAACAGCATATATCAAGGTCGTGAAGTGGGAAGGCACATAGCAGATTTGAGACTAAGAATTGTTGACGTTGGGTTATTTAAACCGTGTTAACCATTTTGGTTTTTATTCCATCTCTTGTGGGAAGCCACTGATATAATTTAAACTTATGAATGACATGAGATCATGCTTTTTAAAGATCACTTGGGTTACATAATGGAAAATGCATTGGAGGGAGGCAGGAGTGGATGTGGGGAAATGTGAGGTGGCTATTCCAGTGAATCAAATGAGAGGTGACAGTGGCTTAAATTAAGATTATAGCCATGGAGAGAGTGATGATGATGGTGACTCATGATGGTGATGGTAGTGACGATGGTGGTGGCAGTGGTGATGGCAGCTAGCACGTTGGAAAGCAATAACATGCATTATCTTACTAACTTCTCAAAAGAACCCAATAAAGCACAAACTGTTACTGTTTCCACTTCATATATAAGGAAACTAAGCAGAAGATTTAAGCAAATTGCAAGTAAGGGGTGAAGCTTTCTTTTAAACCTAGGCAATGTACTTCCAAAACCTGCACTCTTAACCACTGTGATCAGTGGAGAGAAGTGATTATAATCCATAGAATTGAGGAGATGGAAATGAAAGGCTTTTGTAATGACAGGAGATTCAGGAACGAGGAAGAGGGAGGTGTGAAGAATGGCAGCCCTGGTCTGGGTGGTCAGGGTCTCATTCCCTAAGATGACAAACACTGGAGGAGAAAGCCATTGGGGAGTGGGGAGTTCACAAGCTTGGTTTTGGATCTCTGGAGTACAGCTGAGACACATTAAGATCTTCACATGGAAATGCTGAGTCGATCCTTGGATTCATAATTCTGGAGGAAGGAACCAGTTTGGTCATAGACATTTGAGTGAGGTCAGTCCAACCATCTGGCGGTTGAAGCCATGGCCGCAAATGAGATCATTTGGGAGAGGGTTCTGAATCACTCCATCATCCACCCCACAAATGTTTATTGGGTCCTCCCATGTGCCTGGCACCATGCTGGCATGGCCTAGGGTGTTAGTGTATCCCAAAACACAGGTGCTCCCTGCTTTCATAGGGCTTCCTGGTCAAGAGTGAGACTGACATGGACTCACTAATGAATGAACCTTCACAGTTTGAGGCACATGCTCCTATAGCAAAACATAGGTCTTATGAGAACAGGTCACCATCACCATCTTCATGGCTATAACCTCAATTTAAGCCACTGTCATCTCTCATTTGATTCACTGGAATAGCCACATAACATCGCCCCACATCCATTCTTGCCTTTCTCCAATGCGTTTTCTATTAAGTCTCCCAAGTTATCTTTAAAAAGTACAATCTCATGTCACTCATAGCTTGTGGGAGCGGGGCTGGGTTTCCATGCAGAGGAACAGCTTTGCTGTAGAGTTGCCTGTGTGGGGATGCAGGGTCCAGGGTGTCTGGGTGGGAGTTCCAAGACCACCGTCCTTGCCTGGGACCCTCCTGGAGCGGCCCCTCCTCTCTGCTTCCTCACTTCTTTTTGTACTCTCCTTTCCTAG